CCTCTACGACCTTTTTTACGTTGTTTACTTTTTTTAGATATTAAATAAAGTAAAAAATGTTAAAAAATGAGTTGCGGAAAGTCAACATGTTTTCTTTTTTTTAACAGTAAAATAAGGTTAGGCAACAGATAAAGTTAAGAAAACTGTAAAAAAAAATGGTTTTCTTTCTAGTAATGAGTTGTTTAGGTAACATTTTAAAGTTTGAAAAAAACGGACCGTTATCGTTTTTTTGTTGAATTTGTGTGTGTGTGTGTGTCAGCTCTGAACTAAAATTAAGTTCATTTGTTAACGTTGCTTAATATTTAAATTCATAAATATAATGGCAATTATATAAAAAATATAACGACAAAAAACAACAAAAGTTTCCGCGGATTTATTTTTTGCGGATTAGTATCGCCCAACTCGTAAAAACTAATTACTTAAATGTGCGTTCGTAGGATAATAAAAGTGTTTCGTACATTTGCGTCGGCAAATATTTATTGTTTAATAATAAAACTTGACACTTTTGCATTGAATGAGCATTGGCCCAATCCAAAAAAATTGCTAATGTTATTTTGCACATTGGGCCAACACGAGCTCGCTTGCTTGGACTTATTTTAACAACAAATATCATATATCGGTCCAACGTTTTATGCAACATTGTATTGTTGTTATAAATAGATGATTGACATAGAAATTTATAGAGAAATAAAAACAAAGGTGTATGATACAAGTATAAGACTTTATTTAGTTTACATAATTTCTCCGTTAAAAATACATATTGCAAACTCCAAACACAAAAACCAAAAACAAATACAATAGTTTTTAAATAAAATATTTCCCTTAAAAATTATGAGTTTTTGAAATTAGTTAAACTACTTGTTATTGAATCGTGTTTAGCAAATGATCTTTGCTGCTTTTGACTATCAGCTCCATCCCTTGCATACAAATGATCTTTGCTGCTTTTGACTATCAGCTCCATCCCTCGCATACAAATGATCTTTGCTGCTTTTGACTATCAGCTCCATCCCTTGCATACAAATGATCTTTGCTGCTTTTGACTATCAGCTCTATCCTTCGCATACAAATGATCTTTGCTGCTTTTGACTATCAGCTCCATCCCTTGCATACAAATGATCTTTGCTGCTTTTGACTATCATCTCCATTCCTTGCATACAAATGATCTTTGCTGCTTTTGACTATCAGCTCCATCCCTTGCATACAAATGATCTTTGCTGCTTTTGACTATCAGCTCCATCCCTCGCATACAAATGATCTTTGCTGCTTTTGGTTATCAGCTCCATCCCTTGCATACAAATGATCTTTGCTGCTTTTGACTATCAGCTCTATCCTTCGCATACAAATGATCTTTGCTGCTTTTGACTATCAGCTCCATCCCTTGCATACAAATGATCTTTGCTGCTTTTGACTATCAGCTCCATTCCTTGCATACAAATGATCTTTGCTGCTTTTGACTATCAGCTCCATCCCTTGCATACAAATGATCTTTGCTGCTTTTGACTATCAGCTCCATCCCTTGCATACAAATGATCTTTGCTGCTTTTGACTATCAGCTCTATCCTTCGCATACAAATGATCTTTGCTGCTTTTGACTATCAGCTCCATCCCTTGCATACTAATGATCTTTGCTGCTTTTGACTATCAGCTCCATTCCTTGCATACAAATGATCTTTGCTGCTTTTGACTATCAGCTCCATCCCTTGCATACAAATGATCTTTGCTGCTTTTGACTATCAGCTCCATCCCTTGCATACAAATGATCTTTGCTGCTTTTGACTATCAGCTCCATCCCTCGCATACAAATGATCTTTGCTGCTTTTGGTTATCAGCTCCATTCCTTGCATACAAATGATCTTTGCTGCTTTTGACTATCAGCTCCATTCCTTGCATACAAATGATCTTTGCTGCTTTTGACTATCAGCTCCATTCCTTGCATACAAATGATCTTTGCTGCTTTTGACTATCAGCTCCATTCCTTGCATACAAATGATCTTTGCTGCTTTTGACTATCAGCTCCATCCCTTGCATACAAATGATCTTTGCTGCTTTTGACTATCAGCTCCATTCCTCGCATACAAATGATCTTTGCTGCTTTTGACTATCAGCTCCATCCCTTGCATACAAATGATCTTTGCTGTTTTTGACTATCAGCTCCATTCCTTGCATACAAATGATCTTTGCTGCTTTTGACTATCAGCTCCAAACCTTGCATACAAATGTACAAGATTTCAAATACACTTCTATACTAATTTACTCGAAATCTTGTAAAAAAAAAGACTAGAGCTGCAAATCACTCATTTGAGAACAACCTATCTAAAAACACGAATAATCCGAAAAAGAATTTATGCATTACATTAATAGCAAACAAAATTTTAATAATCATATCAAAATATAGCGTTCACATTTCAGATAAACTTTGTACCAATAATGTTTTGATCGCCAACTCACTTAGTTCTTGAATTCCTGTATTTCAAAATGTCTTTACTATTGAGTCTTGCAATCAAAATCTACCTCAATTTCTCTTTTTATCATTTTGTTCGGTTTTAATTTTGTTCAAAAACATCTTGAGGCATTTGACTATTATAAATCAGGAAAAAAAAAATGAGTCCGTACGTTCTTAAAGTATGCACCAGCGCAATAGCAGCTGATCTTACCACATGGCAAGATTAGCAATTGCTTGTTTCATTGAAGTTCGGAAAACTATGTAGTTTTCCGAATTTCAATGATACAAGCAATTGTACCAAAAGCATGGCTAATGTAACTTAAGAGAAACTTGAATCAAAGTTCTAATAACTAATAAAGTTTGAATCATATGGAATTAAAATCAAAATCTTAAATTGGATTAGTGCTTTTCTTTCCTACAGAATACGACATGTCATCTTTGAAAATGTCACATCCGATTGGGAACAGGTTACTAGCAGCGTTCCTTATCAATCAGTTCTTGATCCAGCCCTATTAATTTATATTATAGTCTGGAACAACCTCTATACAACTTACGTACGTACACATCTAGAATATGTTGTGATAGCCTGGTGCCCTCATTCGAAAATGAGGTCCAAGTATCAACATTCTTAGGAGGTCAACTAAATTCTTGTTCTATAAAGTCTGTTTTAATGACAGTAGGAGTATTTTTTTTTTTTTATTCAACCATATCAATAAAATTTTACAAATGCTCATCGTAAATTAATTGAATTTAATTAGATGTCACAGTTACAAACTAGTCAATAGAGTGACATATAAAAAACATAAAATTCTCGAAAAAAGAAATAAACAAAGAATAAAAAAAAAAAAAGAAAAGAAAAGAAAAGAAAAGCAAATATAAATAAGTGAAAAAAAAAGAAAAGATTGTTAAACAAAAATAATGATATATGTAATAATTATAGTGATAACACAAAATAATAACAATAATAATAAAGTATCAATAATATTAGGATTTTTTTTTTTTTTTTTATTTTATTCAAATTGCGGTGTTAAAATAAAATACAGGTAAGTTTTAATTAGTAAATATCAATAAATAAAATATTTTCAAAACAGTCGTGGACTCCAAAAAAATACGGGTGATGCAGTATCACCTCAATCTTTTCAAAGAGCTTCTTGATATAAAATAATGTTATCAAAAAGAGTTATAAAAATCCATTTACAATATAAAAGTAATCAATAAAAAAATATATAAAATAAACTATAGATATAATAAGAAAGCAAATTATTTTTACAATTACAAAGATATTTTGCAATAACTATATTGCAAATTTAGATACTCAAAGATTTGGAAATAAATACAAACATATACACATTTATCAATTAATACGTTAGAAGACACATATATCATTAATAACTACTAAGAATGATAAATAAAACTCGTTTGAATAAATTTACAAAATTGTTTTGGAATTATTATTGCGCAAAAATAAAATTGTGTTTTTTAGCTTGAAACTTAAATTAGTTTAATGATTTTACCATAATTGCATTGTTTTTTAAAAAGAATTCCATAACAAAGGTGCTCGATATGCTATTGAATATTCTGAGCATTCATTTAATTTCCTTGAATGTTAATTTGATCGATTTTTTTCTAAGAAATACTTTTCATTTACATTTTTCTCAAACATACAAATAAATTTATTAAACATACAAATAAATTTATAAATAAATTTAGAGTTAGGCTATTAATATACTTATACATAAAAATTAGGTGCTGATAAAAATTTATTTCGTATATATTCACTATTTTCATATACCCAGTGGAAAAAAAGACGTCGAAAAGACGTCTTTAAAAGTCTTATTACGATGTATTTAAGGCGACTTTTTTTAATCGATTGTGCAAGTCTAAAAGACATCTTCTTTTGACATCGAAAAGACGTCTTTTTTGTCTCTATCTTGTCATGAAAAGTCATGAAATTACCTCCGAAAGACGCCTTTTTTTAGTCGATTATTCAAATCTAAAAGACATCTTTTTTCAACATCGAAAAGACGTTTTTTTTGTTTTTATCTTGTCATGAAAAGAGATGAAAAATGCGACTTTAAGACGTCTTTTTTTAGTCGATACCCAGTGGAAAAAAAGACGTCGAAAAGACGTCTTTAAAAGTCTTATTACGATGTATTTAAGGCGACTTTTTTTAATCGATTGTGCAAGTCTAAAAGACATCTTCTTTTGACATCGAAAAGACGTCTTTTTTGTCTCTATCTTGTCATGAAAAGTCATGAAATTACCTCCGAAAGACGCCTTTTTTTAGTCGATTATTCAAATCTAAAAAACATCTTTTTTCAACATAGAAAAGACGTATTTTTTGTCTTTAGCTTGTCATGATAAGGCATAAAAAATGAGTTAATCGTATTTGTTAATCATAATTAACAAATTATACACATCTGAAAAAGTTTTTCTTCTTGGCGTCGGAAGGTGCCAAGAAAAAAACCTCTTTTAGAAGTCAATATAAAAGAGAAAGCATTTTCTTTATTTTTTATAGGTATAAACATAGGAGAATTATTTATAAATAAAACAGCAGTATTGTTCAGCAGAATATATTAATTAAATTAAGAGTTAAATGAATTAAGTTAAATTAAGTTAAATAAATTAAGAGTCATCAGCAGATTCATCTCCAAATTCCACATTATTTTCACTCTACTCTTTTTCCTCTGTTTCTTCAGCTTTCTCCTCTGTTTCTTGGCGTTGTTGTTCACGCAACCTCCCGATTTGATCAGGGGCGTTCTTCAGCTTTCTCTGAATAAAATTAACTATTTCTCGTCGAAAAGTCTTTTTATACAAGATGGCTGCGACTTCTAAAAAATGAGCGAACATGAAAAACAGTCACTTTTTTATTATAATATGAAATAGCAAATGAAATTTTATCAGCTGAGGGAAACACATTAGACTTACCGACTATTAATTCAAAAACGGCTGATCCTTACAACCCCCTCTTATTTCCACAGCGGTCCTTTCTTTTTGTCTCCACTAAGTTAAATTGGGACAGAAGTCCAACGGTAAACAGTCTAAAAATATAATAAATAAGTATGCTAAAAAAATTTATTATTATCAAAATGAATGTACAACGATATATTATATTATGTAGTACTTAAAGCAAACTAAGCATTTGCACCTCTCAGATTTGCTATGAAAGACAACTTTTTAATTTAACTTCGTTGAAATTAAGTGTTGTAGACCCATAACAATTAAAAAATCCGTTATTGACTAAGGACTATCAAAAACGAAAATTTAATTCAGCTAATACACATTGAGAGTTGTTATTTATTTAAACTAGATAAACCTAGTGTTCAAAGCTCAATTTTAGCCTGAAATATAATGATGCTTTACCTAATAACATAAAATTATAAAAACAGGCGATATCATTATCCACACAGATGAATCACACATAAACAAAAATAAAGACTAGAAAGCTGCAATGTTGTTTAGCTAAAAGAAAGTGAACCTTTCCAGTATCATTTTTACTTGGTCTTTCGCATCCAAACCACGGACTTAACGTAAAGATTTTCTCTGAAAGATAACACAATAATAAATACTATAGCAACGATGTTTATAAACAGCTTTCTGGTTATAGTGAGGTTCTCTCACCTTACTTATAAAATTTTATTACTAAAATCACAAGATACTGAAAAATGCATAAATTTTCAATCTTGTTTGAATATCAAAAAACCAGACATGAAAAAAGTATAACAAATACCATGATTGAACGTTTCTGTTCGTCTAACAACTCTCTTTCAAAGGCATTAAAATCTTCCATCGTTGCCATCATTTTTATTGCATGGTTATCCTTTTCTTCTGTTGGCCAACAACAATTTACAAATTACGTTTTCTTTTATCTTCCGCAAGAGACCAAGTGACAGATTCTGGTACTCTGAAACCGAATAAGATAAAAAATCTTGTGCAATTAAAAATTCTTGTAGAAGCCTTTATTTATTTTTTTAAATTCCATAGTGCTCCATTCTAGCATTTAAAATAAGAAACCTATTCAACACATTTTACAAAGGAATAATTTTTGAAAGGATTTTTGTTTTCAAAATTCAGCTAAATAAAAATTCCATTGAATTTATGTAAATAGAAAAAAAAGAGTCAAAAAATAAATAAAGCGTCCCTTAACATAGCGCTTATTTGATTAATCTAAATCGTTCACATTTATGAAGTTAAACAAACATCTTGTATAAAAGCACTTCCTCGTGTCCTACAGCTGCAAAATGGTTAGATGCGCTACACTAAAACTTGAGTCATTTAGCAGTTTTCTTCCAAGTTTTTTGTGTGTTAAGAGACGCCTCTTTCCAGAAGTTCAAACTTGACAATGTACACATTTTGATAACTCAAATAAATACTGCTAAAGTTGATCCTTAGCAGCAGCAGTTATATATATACATATAATAAATATACATATACAATTATATATATATATATATATATATATATATATATATATATATATATATATATATATATATATATATATATATATATATATATATATATATGTATATATATATATATATATATATATATATATATATATACACATACATATATACTATACATATATATGTAAATGAATATATATATATATATATATATATATATATATATATATATATATACACATACATATATACTATAGAGGCTTGGTCGGGAAGCGGGAGCGATCGCTCTCGATTGCTGACCACGTAAATAAATTTAGTTACAAAAAGCTGGCTAGATTTTATAGTCGTTTTGAGAACATTTTAAAAAGCAAAAAAAAAAAGCGCAAAAGATTAATTGGACTGATGAGAAACAATAACAAAAAAAAAAAAAAAAAAAAATTAGGCAAATAAAATATCTTTAGACGCGAAAAAACCTAAAGCTAAATAAATTACGTTTAGAAAAAATATTTTCGGAACATCGCTTAATAAAATTAAGCGATGTTTTTTATATAAAGTAACAACTTGCGATTGTTTAAAAAAGAAACAAATGCATTTTATTTAGCAAAGTTCGCAAGTTTTAGTTTTATTTACGCTAAACTATTTTATAAATAAAAAAATTGATTTTTTCAATACCTTTTTTATGTTTCGCGTAGTTTGAAAAGTTTAACATATTTGAAGCAATTCTTCTTAGTAAGATAAACAAATGAAATAATTAAATCATTGAATTACTGTAGAAATTAAATTAACAAGATAGAAATCAACTAAGGTTAACTAAAGGTTAAAAATATTTTATGACGAGGAAGCGAAACTGCTTCACAATATCGCTGATGATGTTTAGTGAGTGGGTTTTTTAATTTTAATTAGTATTTAAAGCAGAAAAAAGTATAACGAGTTTCAAGGATGGCAACTTAAGCGAAAATAATTAGAGTTGGTAAACCAATAAATAGAAACTTTTCTTTATATTTAATTGTTTGCTATATATATAAATTTGTGTTCTGTCGTGACTTCAGGCGCGGTGCTTGTTCATCCGCGAGTTACTTTGAATGCGTTGTTTGTGTTTAGTAACCAGAAACTTCTTATATGTTCGTTACATAATTAGTTTTATTAACTATAACGAATATAACTTCATTGAAAACACAATTATTTTTGTAAGTCTTTGTTTAAATCATAAAAACTGCTTTAAAAGAGACATTACGATAAAAAACAGATCAACAAAATTACATTTACATAAAGAATACATACTTTTTAAATAAAAAAAAGAATATACTAATAAAATCTATAATTTATAAAAAACTTTTGAAATTTTGACAATTTAATATATATTTAAAATATTTATTTTTGTAAACAAATAATATAAATTTTTAAAACAAACAACCTAGAAATCTCAAAACGCAACAAATCGTGAATATGACAATTTCTAAAACATTTCAACAGGATACTCTAAAACTTTATTTCGCTAAGTCAGGGTATTTTTTGAACTAATAGAATTAGTTTCTTCGTTAATTTAGCGGGTTTTTAGTGTTCGCGAATATTTTTTTAATTCTTTCGCACAAAGATGTTTGAGAGAGAACATTCAAGTTTATTATGTTTCCATGTATGTCCGTAAAACAAAAATTTTTTGTTTCGTACATAAACTTTTTTCGCAACTAAATATAACTTCCGTGGTCAGTATTCGAGAGCGATCAGTCCCGCTTCCCGACCAAGCCTGTATAATATACATATACACATATATATACACATACATATATACATATACATATATATACATATACAGGCCTCGGCGAAAAGCGAGAGCTTTAGCTCTCGCTTTCGCCCTACATTCCCCTATAACGGTTTACGGGGGCAATTTACGGCTCTTGCAAAAGTATAATTATTGTTGTAACTAAAATAAAAAATACAATGTATATAAAATATATTTACATATATTTTAAAAAATGTGAAAAAGGATACCTTTTTTTGAAGTCGGTTCAATTGGAAATACAGCTGTTTCTGAGAGAAATTAATAGTAAAATATGACATATGAATGATAGTCAAGAATATTAGCAGGAGATTGGTCAAAACATTATACTCAAAAATAATTATTTTTAATAACAAAAAAAAAATTCTAGTCATCTTAAAACGGTTAAATTAAACAATCACAAATTATAAAACTATCTAGTTAATTATAATTTATCTATATATCATCTAGATAAAAAGTCAAGAATTATAGAATATCTAGTCTTTAAAGTTTCATTTGGAGCTAGTTCACCTAACAAATTAAAGCCTCTTCCATAACTTCATGGTTTTTCATAAACTGAAATTTTGAAGACCAGATTTTTTTACAAAAATTGTAATTCGCTCTCTTAATTCAACCCTTATATTATATAAAGGTCAATCAGTTAATATCAAAAAATTGACTAAAGTAAGAAGTTTTTGAATAACATAAAATATAAAAATAAACATGATGAGCATAGTTTACAGCAAACAAATCACATTGCAAATGGTTTCAAAGAAACATGGGATTTAATAAGACGAACCGCCAGACATTTAAGCCAATGATTCTTTTGCTGATGGTATAATACTTTCATATTCAGATTCTAAATACGACATTTATACATAACTAAATTGCACCCATTATCAAAAAGGGATGTATGTCCATTTTGCCAAAAATGAGATATTTAGACAGTAAAAACTATGGAGTATCTTCCATGTTATCTTAAAGTATTATGCTTCGAGTATTTTTTATTAATGAGTTATTAATAGTTTAAAAAAAGGTGTATATGCCATCATGTTGAAAACTATTATAGAAAAAAGAAGTATCAGACAATATAAATTTTTTAATTGCATTTTGGAGATACAACCCTTTTCTAAAAGAGGTGCGAAATACAAAAAAAATTTAATGGATTTCTACATTATTGCATTAAAGATTAAATGTTTCTGAGCTTACCACTAAGCTGGTCTGATGCTGCAAGGCTCAATTGCGGTCTTTTACAAGAAGATGATGATTCACAACAGCAAAAAATTTGAATCACAAAAAAACATTTTCACTGTGATGAGTAAATCAACAAATTAGATAAAGTCAACCAAATTAGATAATTGATATGATTATATAATTGATAGATATGATTAGATAATTTTTTCTTGCATAACAAAACTTGACTTACTAATAGTAGAATGCGGACGCTTTGGGATAGACAAGCATAATCTTGAGCTTTTCCTCTGGATCCATGTTGGCTGTGTTTTCTCTGAATTTAGTTTTTTAAAATTTCATTTAAAGTAATTGATAAAATTATTGTAAAAAGTCTTTGTTTTACCACGTTTATATTGTGAGACTTTGCAAAAGATATATGCCTCTATAAGTTATTTATATCAATAAATTAATTAAAAATAAACACACCTTTATCTGAAACAAAAGATGAAGAAAAGTCAACTTTTTCTGAAAACAATTTTGGTGGGACTGGCAAACTAGAGCACAGTTTTGTAGACGATTGTAAAGATAAATCTGTTGTCATTATGTACATTTTTTACTTGCTTTGTTAATGACAGACAACAGTTAACAAGGAAATAACTTTAACATAAAAGATAAAGAGCGAATCTTTTGTCATAATTTCATCGTTTAACTAAATACAAACAATAAAATTATCATTTAAAAACATTTAAAAAAAATTCCAAGCTTACTTGATGCTTTTTCTTTTCTATTGTCCGTTTCGCTGGCACTTGAACACATATATATAGATAGAAATTGTTCACATGTTTTTTTTTTGTCTGAAAATAAATATTTTAAATTAATGTGTAATAAACAACGTTCTTCAAGAACAACACATTAAAAAATTAGATCACATACCAAATGTTTGTAAACTCTAACTATATGCGTATTCCAGCCTTGCTTATGTGTTAAAATCCAAAATTAAACCGTAACATTTTTTAAATCACTTACCCGCAACTAACTTAATTGAAACTAGATCATATTAATACCATAGCTCTTTGTTTGGTGTAGAATTTGTAAAATTTAGTACATTCATGCCTTGTGGCCAATACAATTTCTTCTCCACCTTGTCTTACCATTTTACTGGCACCACACCATCTACGTTTTCTTTCTTACCATCAACATTTTCAAGTCAAACAGCTGCGGCCCATCCATTTGTAAACTCCATTTAGGCAAAATGTTTTAAGTATACAAAAGTACTGTATTAAAAAGCAATGATAAATTAAATCTTCAATGAAGTCAATGAATTATCAATTTAAATAAAACATAGAAAAAACAACAACAATGTAATAAGTATAGATTTGAAAGTAAAAATTTAATTGTATTTTAATATATAGCACATATATCAAGGGGCTTATATCCGTAATTTAATATGAGTTTGGATTTAGGGGACATTTATCAGGGATAATATGTTATATATACTTTGTTATTTATATAAATAACCTAAAATTGATGTTTATTTTAATTAGAAAAACATATTAAATTTGAAAAAAAAGTGAAATATTGCATTTAGCGTTTGTTATTATGCAACAATGGAAAAATTGCATGACCATTTTCAAATGGTAATACAGCAGCTTTTTTAAACAACTCATCGACTTTCAAATAAACATCTTCTGTCTTTCTGTTCATAATATCTCTAACAAAACAAATTCCAAGATTTCTTGAATCAAGAGGTGTGTTGTATAAACAATCTAAGTCACTTCTCATGAAGACACCACATTTATATGTGCATTTGTCAACTTTTTTCTTCACAAAACATAATTTCCCGCTTCTAAGGATGAACCATGAATCTTTAAACCTTTTACAGATTTTTTACATTTTTCCACTCTCAATTAAAATTCTTGGTGAAGCCAATCTACAACAAACTTGAGACATTAGATTGTGAGCACTTTTAACACAATTTTTGATTTACTGTAAAAATTTCTCAAAAGGAAATGCGGGAAATTAATTCAAGGAGCAATTATAATTTTCAACATCATCAGCAAGATGAATAAGAGAGTGAACATTATAAACTGACAAGGTCTCTCCGAAGACATGCTTTACATTTGCTACAAAATACTGAGTAAAATATCTAGCATAATCTAAAAAATGGTTCCGCTTGCCATCATCATCGAATAATAGTATTGATATTGCAACGTGTAAAACTATAAAAATTTCATAAACCTTTTTAGGCTTATTTTTTTACAAAACAAAGGGACCAGTATATAAAAGAAATTGTCTAAATTCAGTTGCTTTCCAGTAGTTGAGCTCGTCAAGGGATCGAGGTTTTCTTGCAAAATCAGAGGGAAGTTTTTGACTTAACATAAACAAACCTGAAGATATTGATTCATTGATGGGGGGGGTGTGACACCCCCTATCAATGGTTTTTAGTCGGCAAACTGGACCCTCAGTCGGCAAATCGGACCTTTTTAGACTAGTTAGTCGGCAGATGTCGACCCTTTCGATATAGGTTAGACAGTCGGCAAATGTCGCAATGGCAGTGGGCAAATTTTGGAAAACGAGGACCTTTTTTTTTTTTTTTTTTTTTTAGTCGGCAAAAGTTGTAATGGCACCCCCCACGTGACACCTAGTCGCGCCGGCCCTGACCACATCCACCCCTAACTCAAAGGTACACATCTCATATATGGTGGTGAGCTGATATCAAAATATTCGAACGTCTGTTTGATAAAAAAAACAATTTTCAGTTTTAAAATACTTTTTTATGATAGATTATTCAATTTATCGGTGGTTAAAGTCGTAGTTCGGGGCCCCCCTAGCCTTCCAGTCACGCCCTATGGCTAGATGCTACTATAAAATTGTAGCCCACTCTTACATCTTTCTTTTGATACCAAATTATAGAAATTTTAAAAAGAATTTGCATAGTTATAACAATTTTCGATACAAAAAAAATTATTTTAGCTGCAGTTTCTTTAACAATTTCATATATTCAAAAATTGTCACTAAAAACCTCATAACTTTTTTTTGAATTGTTCGATTTTGATAATTTGTTGAAATACTGTATTAATGCTCTTTTCAACAATTTATAGCAATATAACATATAACATTTTGTAAATTTAAAAGTTTCATGTCACATACCTAATATATATATATATATATATATATATATATATATATATATATATATATATATATATATATATATATATATATATATATATATATATATATATATATATATATATATATATATATATATATATATATATATATATATATATGTATATATGTATATATGTAATAATATGATTATTACATATATCTATAAGAGCAGTATTAAAGATTTTTATCAAATCTTATGTAAATTATTTATTGTATTCTTTTTGTTAGGAATTAATATAATAACATGAAGTAAAGTAAAAATTTATATCAACTGGATTGTAGGTGTTAACATAACTCCAAAGTAGGTTTTACTGTTGGTTTATTTTTATATTTTGTTTCTTTGTTAAAATAAAATAAAGATGGCTTGCACAGTAGAACAGAACAAAAATTGAAATCTTTAGTTAAAAAAGAAAAAAATAGACTAGTTAATGTAGGCTTTAATAATATAAGAGCTAAAGTATACAATAAAGTCATTTTTAAATATATCTACTTAGTTTTGTCATGTGCATATAATGCTTATCGAGAAAGTGAGGAGACAGATGGAGTTTAAATTAAGTAAACATTCTGGTTATATAATGCATAAACTTTCTGGTTTTATAAATCATGTTATTATATAAACATTATGAAAGTAACAACGAATGTAAATTATGACTTTTTAAATTAATTTTTATTACTCTACCATCATAAATAATTGTCTTGGATATGTCAATATTGTACCATTCATGACAACTTTCTGCTAATAGTTTTTTTACACATAATATAATCTAAATCATCAAGTTGCATAGATTACAAATTGTTAAACAAATTTCTTATTTCTTCTTATTTTTTTATTTATTAACATTATTAATATTTTAACTATTTATTTACTTTATTTCTATTAATATTTATTATTTTTTTATTTATAGTATTTATAAAAAAGTTAGCGCTTATAAAAAAAGAAAAATTTATTATAAGTTGCTAACAGCATGCTCAAGTTAGAGCTAATATTTCTTATAAACTGACTTCAAAACAGCAAAAAATTTATTAAATAGAAAAAAGAAAGTCAGGGAAAAAGCTGTTTACAAACAGTTTTTTCTCTAACTTTATTTCTTCTATTTAATAAATTTTTTACTGTTTTGAAGTCAGATTAGAACTAGGACCGGTAGATCCTAGTTCTAATCGGTTCTGACGTATATTAACTATATATATTTGTCAAAACACAATATTTCTATCAATTTTCACAAAAAATACTAGAACTCCGACCAAGAAAGAGCTTATATTTATGGAAAAATACCAATAAACGATCAGAAAAGATCATATTCTTAAACTATAATGTTCATTTTACCTAAAAAACGTATTAATATAAAATCTTATTCAAATTTGGACGAGTGGTTGTGATTTTAAGATGGTTTTTTTTATAAAAAAAGAATCTTTGGTTTGGGTTTTTTTGCTACAAACATTTATATTTTATATCGCAAAATTTTTAATTTTAATTATTTTCGTCTTTTATAATTCACAGACCAGACCATTTAACGGAAATAAGTCGTAGTCAACAAAATATTATACAGACGCTATAATATTTTAAAAGTGCCTTAGCTACACCGAGTGTGAATTATGTAAAGTATAATACTTGAAATGTACAAATTTACCTTACTTTAAAGTTATTCTTATTTAGATGCAGTTACCAGGGCCGTACTAAGGGCGGGGCCAGCCGGGCCGCGGCCTGAGGCGCCAAAATTGGGAGGGCGCAAAATTCCCCAAATTAATTAATTTATTTTCACATTATGAAACTAATTTGCGTGGCGTCACTTTTATGTTGATAAGAAAATTAATTAAAATTGCGCCTCCTGACGAACTTTAAAATAAAAGCTAATTTACCAAACAGAAGAGCGCCCTTAAACACTAAAAAGTTGTATTTTCTGAACATTATTTTTTACAATGAATCGTGCAAAAAAATTATCTGATGCTGAATTTAAGAACGACAATTAAAAACCAATAATTATTTATAATATAAACAAATGATTAATTAAGGATCATATAAATTTAACGCACACATTAAAAATTATTCTAAAAAGAAAAAAATATAGAAAAAAAGAACTTCGAATTTAAAAAGAAGAACGCCTAATTTAAGCGGCTTAAATAAAGAAACAAATGAAATGAAAGCTAAAGAAAGTAAAGTAAGCAAATAATAATAAAAATAAAGAGGGAGAAGAAAAGAAAAAAGAAAAAATAAATAATAGAAGAGCGCAATTAAAAAATAAAAAGTTGTATTTTCTGAACATTATTTTTTACAATGAATCGTGCAAAAAAATTATCTGGTGCTGAATTTAAGAAGAAAAAAAGGGACCGTCTTGAAAGTGACGCAAAACTAAGAAATTGTTTCAAGAAGTGGTTGGTAACATACTCTTTTGTGGAAAAACAAATTATTTCAGAGGATATTTGCAATGAAGTTGATAATGATTCAACAGCTGAAGTTGCTGCTACATCTTTAATTACTGACTTAAATTGATATCATCCATTGGAATTAATTGAAGAGGAGATTTTGATTGGCCAAAGTCAAGACGAATTTGGACCAAATGATTCAGAAGCACAAGAAGATAGAAATTCTCAGCTTTCCGAACCAATTAAAATGGGCAACAGTGAATTTCCTCCTGAAGTCTCAGAAATTTCAGCAACCTCAGGAGAAAACTTTCAACACAGTGATCCAGCTACATGGCCTAAAATGACAGATAAAACAAGGTCCTTTTGATTCAGCATGGGCCTCAGCAAGAAAGAAGAGAATTTTTTCCAAACACACTTTGTGACTTTTGTCATCCCAATGGTGAAAAATTTGTTCGCTACTGGCTGCTGTACAGCAACAAAAAAGATTCTTTGTTTTGTTTTTGCTGTCTGCTATTTTCAACGACAAAAACCAACAATTTTTTAGAAATTTCAAAAGGATTTTGTAACTGGAAAAAACTAAACTCAAGAATTCTAGAACACGAAAACAGCAATGAACACCAAAGATGCTATTCTGATTGGAAAAATCTCGAAAAAAATCTCAAGGAAGGAAAGACCTTGGATTCTGATCTGCAGAGAGTTATCAACGGAGAGATGAAAAAGTGGAGAGATATCTTGAAAGTGATTGTTGATGCAATTTTGTTCTGTGCCAAGAACAATCTTGCCCTTCGGGGTTCAACAGAAGTAATTGGAGAGCAAAACAGTGGCATCTTTCTGAACTTAATTGAGCTGATAAGCCATTATTATCCTTTAGTGGCTGAACACGTTGCATCCGTTAAGGCAAAGAAGACCACAACATCCTACTTTTCTCCTCGAATTCAAAATGAGCTAATTGAATTACTTGGGCAGAAAGTCAGGAATGAAATTTTGTCAAATGTTTGAGAAGCTAAATACTACTCTGTTTTGTTTGACTGCACTCCAGATGCCTCACACAAAAAGCAGATGACCCAAATAATCAGGTATGTCCACATCACTGAGGAAACCTGTACAATTGAGGAAAGCTTTGCGGACTTCATTGAATCTCACGAAAAAACTGGAAAGGGCCTTGCAGCTGAAATCACCGAAAAACTGGAGAAGGATGGCCTGAGCATTTTTGATTGTTGATTTTGAGCCAATATGTCTGGAAAATATAATGGCGTCCAAGCTCACATCCATTCTCTAAATGAGTTTGTTGGTGTCCATGCAGCTGAAGTTTCTCCACTCATGATTTCATTCTTTGGAAAAGTTCAAGCCATCTTTAACTTTTTCTCAAGTTCTACCTTAAGATGGGAAAAACTGATGAAAACATTGACCATCTCACTAAAGGGAAATAGTGATACAAGATGGTCTGCCAAAAAAGAAACATCACCCCAATACACAGACAAATCAAAGAAGTTCTTCAAGTTTTGGAATCCATAATTCACACTCCCAAGACAAATGCTGTCTCAGTTTGAAGTGCAAAAGATTTCATCATTCAAATTGATTTCAGTTTTCTGTGTTTGTTGAATTTTTGGTGTCAAATTCTTTCTTTAATTGACCGGGAAAACAAACTGCTTCAGTATAAAAACATTTCAATTGACATTGCAGCAAAAAAAATGAAAGGACTAAAAGCTTCCATTCAGAATCTGAGAGATGTTGGGGTGGACAACATTATCAAAGCTGCTGCAGAAACAGCTATCCAAATTGGAATTGAAGGAGACTTTCCGATGAAGAAAAAGCGCAAAGTAAAGCAGATGGCACTTTATGAAGCTGAAGACGACTTTTGCCGTTTGTCACCAGAAACAGATTTCGGATCCCAGTGCAACCTTGTTTTTGACAGCATTCTCACACAAATTGAGTGGCGGTTTGAAGCTATGTCTGCAGTATCCTCAGATTTTGACTTCCTCAGTGGACATTCTCTCTCCAAAAGTTCAGTGGATGAACTTAAGACTAAAGCCAAAAATTTGTCTAAAATTTACAAGGCAGATTTAGATTCTTCAGATTTCCAGTCAGAAATGGCAAGCTTTAAATATCAAGCTGCTGCCATGATGGAAAACTTTGAAAAACCTAGCCCGATGGACATTTTGCAGCTCATTTATAAATACTCATTGACTGATGCTTATCCTAACACGGCAATTGCTATTCGCGTCTTCCTCACCTTACCAGTTACAGTTGCCACGTGTGAAAGAAGTTTCAGTAAAATTAAGATCATAAAAAACTATTTGAGATCAACTATGGGCCAAGAACGTTTGTCTTGTCTGGCAGTAGTTTCAATTGAACATTGAGTGGCCAACGCACTTGATTTTGATGATGTCATAAGTGACTTTGCCTCCAAAAGAAGCCAGAAAAGTGACCTTGAACTGAAGTTTGTGAAACATTAGTGACAAATTGTTCTTTTAACTTGATGCGATAAATTTTGTGATCAATAATTAATTTTTTTTCATGTATATATATATATATATATATATAATGTGTTTTTTGTATATTTTTTGGGAGGGGGGCGCAATTTTATTTGCTTGCCCGAAGCGCAAAGTTGGCCTGGTACGGCCCTGGCAGTTACCTGATGTTCTTAAATAAAAAGACACAATGCAAAAAAATTTTATACTAGAATTTGTTTGAACTTTAGAATAGAATTTGTTTGAGCTTTGCATATTTATTGGATCGTGAGAAATGTGCATCAAATCTAAATGAGTCTGATGACAGCAGGCGATAAAAACACATATGAATTTGAATTGGTGTTAAAGATAAAGATATCATGATTTTATTAAGATCGTTTTGAAAATAATATTAATTTTGTTTAAGTTTTTGTTCTAAAAATGTATAAAATATTCTTTTAGTTTTATTTGCTTTCAATAATGGCTTTTCAATTTCTATAATTTAGTTACCTGTGTTAAAAAAATGCTACATGTATATATATATATATATATATATATATATATATATATATATATATATATATATATATATATATATATATATATATATATATATATATATATATATATATAAATATAAATATATATATATATATATATATATATATATATATATATATATATATATATATATATATATATATATATATATATATATATATATATATATATATATATATATATATATATATATATATATATATATATTCCTTGTTCCTACAATTTTGGACTTGTTTGTTGTTTGATTGATCGTACATTTGAAATTAATGATATTAATTTTAATTTATTAATTTTAATTGACTAGGTCAGCCCAAAGTCGACCAAACTATGTCTCTATAATCATCATCAAGTCGACAATTTTCATAAGTCGACAGATTTCCTGTCGACTTTACGTTTGAATTTTAGTAACGATTAGTTCAATGGAAATTTAAAAAAAAAGATACAATTGTAATGTTTAAACTATACTTAAGAGATTTCTATGAAAAACTTTAACAAAAAAAAACGTGGAAAACTATAAACTATAACTTTTTTTAAACGCGCGTATATTTACTCGTGTTACATATACGATCTATAGGTCGATAGTTAAGAGATTGCATTTTTTGTTTGAAATATAAAGATATATTTATTATAATTTTTGTTTAAAATATAGATAAACTATTTAGTTAAAATAATATCCGACCAGTTTAAAAAAAAATTAACATTTAGACATTTTATAAGATGTTATTTTTCAACTATAAGTAGACTTATTCTACTCGTAAATCTTGCGTCAAGTCAACAATATAAAATATAAAGACTTGTATTTTAATATTTCTATGTTTTAATAAATTTTTTTATTAAAAATATATGTAAAAATGACAAATAAACTTTAAAATATGCATATAAAATTTATTTTATACTATTTCTACGACGTCAAGTTGAAATATATGTGCATGCGATAAAATCGTTAAGTCGACAAATTTCTTATTGCTTTTTAAAAAAGCGCTTAATTGATCACTTAAATTTTTTTACAATACAAATACTTAACAACATACGCAACAACTTAACAACATACGCAACATCTACGCAACATCTGTTAGTGAAAAATGAATTAAAAAAGAAAATTTTTTATGTCGACTCATGGTGTAAAAAATAATCGCTGTCGACTTTGAGTAGACCTAGGCTTATATATATATATATATATATATATATATATATATATATATATATATATATATATATATATATATATATATATATATATATATATATATATATATATATATATATATATATATATATATATATATATATATATATATATATATATAAATATATAAATATTAAAATATATAAATATTATTTATTATTATTATTATTATTATATTTTCTTTGCCGTATAATTAAATTTACAATGAGAAAAAACCATTCATGTATAAAAATTGGCCGGAGCAAGAAGAAGACATAAACTGTCTTATCGCCAAGCCCCGTTTACATTAACGTCACAAAGTTACAAGTTAAAAACTAAAAGGTTAAAAATTGAAGTACAATACAATATTAGTTCGACAAATATAAGACACAAGTAATAAATCGAATAAATGTTATTTGTCTGTTCAAAATTAATAGTATATATATTTTTTATTTTAATAAGAAATAAACAAGATACACAAGACAATAGTAAATGAGTAGTGATGACTTTTTCAGGTTTAATTATTTTTGGTGATTTTAGAAGAAATCTTTAAAATCGAAAGTTTTTTCTAATAGAAAACGTTTAGATTCTCTTTTGAATTATTAATAATATATAAATATTAAATCTCCTACATATTTATTTGAACTCCTAGAAGTCCGAACTTCAAAACAAAATACAAGATCATTAGACAGTTGCCAACTTACACGTCGTCAACAAAAAACCTCCTTAGGCTCAAAATCTTTTTGTATGGCTGCACCTCGAATTTGGAATGGTTTATCTTTGAACACGCGAAACTCAACTTCTATAGAAACATTCAAAAAAAGACTAAAATATGAACTTTTTATGAACTCTTTTTCAGACTCATAGTTTACTTGTTTAGTGCTTCTGAATTACTTCATCACTATTGTGATTGTTGTAAATAATGGCACTTTAATCTCTAATTATTATTATTATTATTATTATTATTATTATTATATATATATATATATATATATATATATATATATATATATATATATATACATATATATATATATATATATTATATATATATATATATATATATATATATATATATATATATATATATATATATATATATATATATATATATATATATATATATATATATATATATATATATATATATATATATATATATATATATATATATATATATATATATATATATATATATATATATATATATTAAGAGCAGGCTAAAAAATTAATAATGTTTAAGCATGGTTTCTTTTAAAGTAATTGCAAACTCATTGATTTTAACTATAATTTTTCATGCTTTTGTTAAATGCTAAAACATTATTAATTTCATTGAAAGCGTGCTTACTTATTTCACTTATATCGCTGTTGAAGCCATACATATGTTAGTATCGCTATTAAACTATGCTAAAACATAATAATTTCTTTGAAAGCGTGCTTAGTTATTTCACTTATATCGCTGTTGAAGCCTTGCATATGTTAGTAAGCCATGCATATGTTAGTGATATGTTACACCGCTGTCGAAGCCATGCATATGTTGACAAGCAGTGGCGGATAAAGACTTCTTTGGGCCGGTGGCTATTTTTGTTTTTGAGGCCTTTTTATTCGCCAGAGTCTAAAAATGGTAAAAAAAAGAAGGTCCTCTAAAAAGACCGGATCTGTAGCCCCCCTAATCTCCCCTTAATCCGGCACTGATGACAAGTATCATCTATTAATGTTAGTTATAACAAGTGTCATTTATTGTAGCATAAAAAATATTTTTAGACAAGCGTTGTTTTTACTGCTTATAAAAAAAGTTTTATATTTTCTAGTTTTAATAGAATACAGGCATTTTAACAATTATTAAAAATAATTATTAAAATTACATTTTTTTTTTTTAATTTTAGTTACAATGATTTTTGAGACTATAACCCGTCAAGTAGTGACTGCTCACTTGATAATGATCCACCTGCTGCAAAAAGTAAAAAAAAAGAAGTAGAAGCTGTCTTCATTCATCAAACATGACCATAATTCAAATGACATTTGTAATTATTCTTTATTTTTATGTTTAGTTATAACGACGAGTTACCTGCAAAAGAAGCTGCTGTTATTCAAGCGCATGCTGCATTTATCAACAACCTTTTTAGCAATTATTTGAAAAACGAAATCGCTGATAATGATGCTGCTGTTAACGCGGAAGAAGAAGTTATTGCTCCCAATGATCTGCATAATTTGAAATCAGTTATGGATCTGGAAATCAAAGAAAGAATAAAAAATATTGCTACTAAACATCCAAAGAATAGGATGGGAGAATGTTCTGAAACATGTTGCTTCACATCTGGATACAATTGTAAACAACAGTTGTAATTTAAATGTTGTCAAGTTCGAAACTTAAACTGGCAGAATTGCCAAGTTCTGGAAAAGTATTGAAGAAGTCATCGCGTCCTCAAATGGAAACTGCCAGGTTGGAGTACAAGTAAGTTTAAATAAGAACTATATATTTATAATATACACTTATATTTATATTACATATTTATACAGGCCTATACCGTGTGGTCAATTCGACAAATATGCACATTGCAGATTGCTTGATGGATTACTGGGATTTTCGATAGGATCAATTACCAAAGATATTTGCTTTTATCTTGATTAATTGGTTACTCGATTTCCTGAGTACTTTGCCAAAAATTCTTGCATATGCATATTAATATCCAATTTAGAGGAAAAGGCGGACATTTTGTCCACGCACAAATGCGCAACAGTTTGATGCGGAAAGAGATTTCAAAAATTGTTCTACCACCAATGTAAGTTATGATTCCAACTTAATTAAGAATTTTCTAATTCTGACTTTATTTTGAAAAGTGCATTTTTGCATTTTTTTTTTTTTTTAGGTTATTTAGGTGCTCCCAGAAGTCCTTACGGTTTTATCACGGAGCACTGCGAAAAAGCATCTAACTAGAAGTTCACGCCTCCTTACTTACCAATGTCGCTTATTGGGCTAGAGTCGGCGTCGAACCTCAGACCTCTGGGTTCTGAGCCAGAACTCTAACCACTGCGTCACGGCTGCTCTGAACTTTTTTTTTGCTCTACTTTTTCTAAACAGTTGTCAAAGAAGACGTGCTTTATTCAAAGTTAGATAAAAATGGAGCAGAAACAAACGTTGTACACTTTTCAATCTACAAAGAGAATGATTTTGGTGTCATTAACCAAATTACTTCTGTTCATTAAATAAATTTTATCAAATTGGAGAGGAAGGAAACAAACCGAATGCCAACTAACACACTATATGAAACGTTTGATTTTTTGGGACTTTACCATCTCGAAAAAATACACGAACAATGTTGTACTTGTCAACAGTTCAATTGACATGCCAAAAGTCTGCGTTGTTTTTGACATGCAATATGATGGTGTAGAAAAAAAATTCAAAGTGATAAATGCTTCCTTCAAAAAACAAGGAGATTTCTTTGAAGGATACCCGTGCAGTTCATCAGATTTCAATATTTTTCTAGTTTCTTGAGATATAAATCATGATAGAAAACACAAAGTTGATGCAGACTGCATAGAAAATCAGTTCGTCTGCCTCTTAAATGAGAAGGAACTTGCTGACATTGATATTAATGCAAAAAAGCAAGGTCGATTTAACAAAAAATTGCGCAGTGCGCATCCTTGTTCCACGCTATGACTAGTCAGTAAATCTATTTTTCCATGTTTATATGTGTTCATTTCCGGTATAATGTATATATTTTTGATATCAAAAGTTGTTCAGTATTTATTTTAAATAACTAACAACTGACACTCGTTTATATTTCTCGTAATAAAAAGAATGATAAGATAAAAACATTTATGTATCGAAATTAAAGCAACATAACTCTTACTTATTTGGACTTGAATCAATCCAATTAACTCGAAATTAGTGTATCTTTTTTTAAAATCTTTCTAACTCCTAATTACCACTTATCAGCCAAAAATATACGCAAATCGTAAAAAAACGCTTTAATTCCGTTTTAAAATGGAGTTTTTCACACAGTTTTGAGTCTAATTATGAGGATATATATATATATATATATATATATATATATATATATATATATATATATATATATTATATATATATATATATATATATATATATATATATATATATATATATATATTATTTCAGTAGAATTAGTATTTTAATTCAAGCCATAAAGACCATAAATAAAAAAAAAATTTAATTATATATTAAAATTATTTTGTAAAATATATTTATTTATTTTTGTTTTTTCTAAAATCTAAATTAAGTTCAAAGTTCCTCAACAGCGGTTCTCGGTGACAAAACCTGTATGGTCTTCTTTGAGTATCCGCGTTCTTTATACTTATTCTTTATTTTTCAACAACTTCTTTGCATGTAACTTTTCTTATTGATATATTTGATATATTTGTAAATATTGTATTAAATATTGTAATAAAGAACACAAATAAAAAAAAAAAAAAAAGATACACGAACTTTTTCTATTTTGGACCAAAAAAGTAAATTTTGCTATTTTTCTCTTGTATGCTAATAAACGTTTTTATTTGACATTACTTAAGTGTTGATAATTTTCTAATTTATCAGACTTTTGATTAAAATTAACTGTTTTTCCTGAAGTTTTACTATTCTTTTTAAAGCCTAACTAATGCGTCACCTTGTCTAGTAAAGGTAAGCTGAGCAGCTTTGAGAAAAATAAAAAAAACTGATCTATCCAACACAAAAAAAACTTTGATGAGAAAAAATGGAGCGGTCATTATTTATGTAGGGGAGAGTTGCCTTAGTTGGAACACTTGAGGAAAAATATTTGTTACCCATACTTACTATACTTTTAACCACAATTTGACTTAATTGGTTGCACTATTATTGGAAATAAATTTGTTTTTGCAAAGTTACCATTTTGCTCCAATAAGGCAACTGGTTCCCTAAATTGGAAGACTTTGATTCCTTCATCAGAACAGGTTATTTTTTTAAAAGAAAAAATCCAGTAAAATTAACAAAATTTTGTAAAAAATGATTTTCATCTTTACAGTGAAAATTTAAACAGTTAATTTAAAACTTATTATAGGATTAGTATTGCCCTGATAAAGTCTACAAACAAAAAATTGTATAAATATTTAACTGCAACAGTTCAAACTCTTATTCAATTTGGAATCCGTTTTGCACATCCAAGTTCTATTATGCAATTATATAAATCATTAAATGTTCCGACGTTAACCCACGGTCTAGAGCTCTGTGAAAATAAAGATGCAACAATAAAAAGACTCGACACATTTGGAAGGAACGCAACTAAATCAATTTTTTAATGTCTCCAAGTATAGTAAAAACTATATACACTCTCTATTTAAAATTAAGGAGATGTCAAATTATATACACCAAAACAAAATAAATCTATTTATCCGCCTTTTAAACAATAAAGTAACCTTTGAAATCATTAACTCTCAACTTAACTACTGTTCAGCTAAATTTTCTTTTTTAGATGATATAAAAGAATTATGTGATAATCATAAACTGAATATGAAAACCTTAATGCTGGTTAAAAAAAAGTAAAACTTTAAGTCGTAGAGGATGTAATTCCTGAAGCTACTCTTCATATTTTGGTACACGCAGTTTAATGTTGGAATGTAAAAGAACAGCGAACAATTTTTAAAAAGACACTTGAAGAAAACATTCCTAAATAATACTTTTTTTATCTCTTTTTCTTAGTTTGTGTTTTTACCTTGTAAACTTATTTTACAGAGGGTGATTAATAAAATATTATTAATAATAATAATAAAATAATGTTATGACCAGGGATGTGGAGTCGTAAAAAA